GTATCGCGGGTCCCCTTTCTTGTGGATATATAATAACATAAGCAAAGCCATGTTGGATCAGGCCAATGGCCCATCCAGTCCAACACTCTGGGTACATTCAGATGGGGCATTTAGGCCGGTATAGATGCCTGTTGGAATCGGTGTACTTACGGGCGATCACACGGCGAACATCTGCCTTCCGTCCCTAACCGTTGCAAACAGCCTTTAACTGTTGTATTCTGCTACTAGGTCCCCAAATGGTGGTATCCTGAGTGCACTGGTTCCAACCACATTATCCCCATCTGATCGCTCTCCACTTCCGTCCCTAACCGTTGCAAACAGCCTTTAACTGTTGTATTCTGCTACTAGGTCCCCAAATGGTGGTATCCTGAGTGCACCAGTTCCAACCACATTATCCCCATCTGATCGCTCTCTGCCGGTGTCTAACCACTTCCGTTCAGAAGCCTGAGGCTTCCGCTTTTCAACCACCATTTTTTTTAAGCCTCCTAAATGTGCGCTTGGGCGAAGCTTCGCCCCAGCATTTGTAAAATGCTCACGGAGGCCAGTTTCAGAGTAAAAATTTAAAGGGACGTCTTTGCTTCAGGGCACGCTTTTCAGGACGGGGTGTTCTGCGCCTGTGTGAAGATCTCAACTCTGTGGATGGCTGCCTATGCGTATGTGCAAAACGTAAAAAAAAATTTTTAAACGCAAATGTAAAAAAAAAAATTAAACCCGCTGCTGCGCGCTGCTGCGCATCAAGAGTGTGAACGGGCATATGGCGATGAGCTGCGCTGTGAGGGAGGTGAGTGTGATCGCGTTTCTTCCAGATCAAATTGCACCAGTTGGAACTGCAGCAGTTTATACTGGTATAAATGCCCCGTCTGAACGCACCCTCTGTGTCACACAGTGGCCAAGACCTGGGTGCCATCAGGAGGTCCTCCAGCCGGCCAGTGGAGAAGGTGTCACATCATGTGGCGTCCCAGGACAGGAGAAGTGAGGGAGCCCATGAGCAGCCCAGAGAGAGGCAGCAGCTCAGTGGCTGAGAGAAAGGACAAGACATGCCCCAAAGGTAACAAGCAGGAAGACTGATTGCCAGCACTAGCCTGTTCTGGTGTTAAAGGTTACCTGGGGTAAAGATCTGCTCAAGAGTAGGCTAAACGGGGCTTTTTCTTTTCTTTTGAAAAAGAGGTGCCAGGACTCTCAAGAAGGAAATGAGTTTTCAATCTGTATACTGAAAACTCATGAACTTTTAAACGTTTTAAAAAAGAATTTTGTTGAAGAGGTTCCAGGACTCTGTTCTGGCTTGTTTCCTCAGGAAAAAAAGCCCTGAGGCTGAGCATCTGATTACATGATACATGAAATGCTCATTGGGTTGGGGAAGCCAGGGACTCACCTTAAAAACTGCATTGGGGGGGCGGAAGCAAACTGGCCCAGCAGAAGGAGGGGCTTCAGCATTCCTTCTTTTGCACCCTGCATGATTTCAGTGGCAGAAAGTGGACATGGGGGTGGGATTGTGTGCCCTGATGCCAGTTCCACATCTCTCTTGGGCAGACACATGGAGCCAGCAGCAGGATATCCCCCCCCCCACACCATTTTTTTCCTGGTGAAGGCATACAGAGTGGGAGGGAGGTCATGATGAAACCCCTTCTGTTGCTGTGCTGATTTGGTTCCCCACACTGTTTTTAAGGTGAATCCCAGGTCATACATGAAACCAGACCCTAAGAGAGCAAGGAGTTGGAGGTAACCAGGAGGAGGTGAAGAACAAAGCCTTGCAGCTGCTGTAAGACTGCCACGATCTCTATAATTAATGCTAGCCAGCAATCTGGCTCCTGCCTTCTCTTCTAATTTAACCTTGTAGATGGTTTTCAAAGGCAGCCCTATCTAGAGTGCCTTGCAGTCATCTAAACTGGATGTAGTCAGACACCGTGAATAGCCATGGCCAAATCTTGCCTTTTGAGGATGGGCTATAGTTGAGCTAGTAAAGTGTGCCAACTGAAAATCAGGAATTAATTCCATTGAGAATGGGCTCCTGATCTGACAGATCTTTGCCAAACAATACACTGTTCATATGTGGCTTAAGCTTCAGTTTATTGGCCCATATCCAACTAAACTCCAGGCACCAGGTCAGAACATCCAATGATTTATCTGAGTCAGATGAAAGAGAAATAGAGCTGGGCATATTGATGACATTTCGCTACAGATCTCCTAATGACTTCTCCCAGTGAGAGCATGTAGGCAGTGCAAAGCATGGGGGATACAATAGAACTTTGAAGGACTCTAATCTGGGAGAACCAGGTTTGATTCCCCACGCCTCCACTTGTAGCTTCTGGATGACCTTGGGCAAGCCATAGTTCTATCAGAGCTGT